CTCAAGCCAAGAGAGGGCCTGATGCTCACCCTTAGAACATACTAATTTATATTAGTACTAATAATGTAAAAAGAAATTGCCGAATGAATAAATGTTACATCAAAGTTTGAAAAATAATGCTAGCGCGGGATCCCTGTGGTATCCAATAGAGTGACGAAATTTCACATACATGTACCTAAATCTTTATACATATTTTGTCGAATTGACGCCTTTTATCTCACACACTAACTAGTGTCGACATCTTAATGTATGTTTAGGGGTTTTTGTACAAGTAATTTCACGCTGAAAATGATTTTTTGTTGCTAGTCGTACGATCTAGAAAGCAAGCTCCCATTGTTTTCATTGACAAAGAAGGTGCATGTGTAGCTAGATTTAATTCAATAATTTAATTCAATTTAATACAAAAATCATAAACAAATTTGAAATGATAGTAATATAACTTGGAAGACATTTTGCTATCCATTACCATAAGAGGGACAACTTATAAATAGAGCGAGTGATCTCTCCCGCTAAAACTGGCTCGCGCGCGAAGAATGACAAGACTGACATTATGCTAAACTTCAAACCATTTTTCAGCTCTATTCTAAGTTGAATGACCTGTTTTCTTAGACCACATTGCTACATGGACATTATGATTGTTTTAACTTTCTCTCCCGTCGATTTGAGTGAGGGATGACTACTGTTCCGTTGAAGATTCAAATGCATTATAATAATTATGCGTCCCTCCCCTGGTGATTCTTATTGTTCTATAAGCTCGTAATAATTGCCATTCTATGTGTGTTCAACAAGTTAAAACGGGAATTTGTTTTTCTCGGGTGACTTTTGGTAACGAGGTAATACAATTACGCAGTTTTATTTGGACATCATATAGAAAACTAAGCAGCGTTCTCGACAAGATTACCAACTACAAAGTTTTTGAGGATCAAAAGTCTCTAAAGGCTGAAAAAGGTAGAATTTAAAACTTTGAAATCATTTTCCAAAATCTACGTCGATTCATAATGAATTTATTTTTTTGTTATGAAGACTCAATCCAGCTGATTCTTCCAAATGTTTTTCGAGTACGCTACCAGTTTTGTAATTTTTCAAATGTGGAAAAACGACTGGGATATATCTAATTTGAGAAATAGAAACCGTTTTTAGTGATTTTTTTCCCATTACCCAGCGCAACTCTTTGTAGTGATTGTATAAAAAATATTGATTTTGATACGATATTGATTGCTACTTTTTTTCTTTTTAATATTATAAAAAGCATTATATAGAATAAAAAATAATTTGAGATATATGCGACTGTTACAATTAGAGAAAAGAAATGTTTGACTCTGGTCTCCTCGGGCATTCAGGCTCAAGTTAAGTCTACTGTACGATAGTTGGAAGATATGCCTCTTCATATTAATACTTTTATACACACACATTTATTATATAGATATGCTTTTAAAATGTACTGAAGTAATGCTAAGTATTGTATATATATAGTTTCTGTTTATTTAACATTTATTTTTATTTTATTGATGTTTGTAGAAAATGAAGTCCAGTTTGATGATTGCAATCTTGTTCAGTCTGGTTGTTCCACCGATCGTCATGTCGGCCAACTGCAAGCAGTCTAAAAGAGCTAACGTAAGTTCCACTATATAATGTCACTATATAATATTTGGGTAATTCTTTCATTTTGACCATTAATTATGAAAAGAATCGAAATCGACTAAGATTACGCGATCTACTCTTTTAATGTTATCATATTATTCTTAAATAAAAAGAACATTATACTTCTTCAAACTTTGATTATGATTTAATGTAAAAAAGCATTTTCATTTCAAGATAAAAATACAGAAAAGAATCACTGTATTATAATGAAATATTATGTTAACATATTAAACACTAGCTTAAGGTATAATCTTGTCTTGGCAGTACTGATCCGCCAGGTCGTTGACTATAGAGTTCAGTGCGCCTGGGTTTTCTCAAAACTTTCTATTCTTTTTAAGTCTTGTGCTGATGGATAATTGTCTCAGTATGTATATGACTGGGTTTTATCACATAGGAAAAAGGAGAATTCTTTTTCGGGGACGAGACATTGATTTGTCGGATTCTGATTGGTTGAGTAAGATAATCAAAATGCAAATCAGCCAATCATGAGCACTCAATTTATACCGTCCGCCAAAGGAGTGAAAAAGATACGATTTTAGGATGTACGAATAAATGTTATTTATATTACTAATAGATCAAAAGGAAATAGAGCTAGAATATTATATATTAGTACGAAAACCTTACTAATTCTAACACGCACTTTGATTGGTTCATTCGATGAACTGTGTTGTGTTCTGTTGTGTTGCATATTTATTCATAGTGGAGTATATTAACTATTCGTATACGGGAGTCAAAATGCATTTGATATCGACGTACTACAACCATTTTATATGGGCAACTATACTAACACTATTTTATATATAGCAGTCCTCCTGTCCACGTCTCACCACTCTGGCAGGCATACCTGGAATACCTGGTGCCCCTGGACGTGATGGTCGCGATGGACGTGAGGGTATTCAAGGAAAACCTGGTCCCCAAGGACCTGCTGGACAACAAGGAGCAACAGGAACTCCAGGGAAAAGAGGAAAAACCGGCGCACGTGGACCTAAAGGACCTAAAGGAGATCGTGGACCTGTGGGACTGTCCTCTCGTTCCAACTGGAAGGAATGTGTTTGGAAAAGCATCAACGATGGGAGAGACAACGGACTGATAAGAGTTTGTATCATTCTTTTAAGTCTTTTTACCTTTAAGTTTATGTAATAACAACAGTATAGACTAGACTGAGTTAGCAAACAATCAAT